CCGAGGCCACCACTCCTTGTCTTGAGTTATCGGCATCGATGGAGGAGGTGGAGGCACCGTTAATGTAGAAGATACTGTTGTTGGAGGAGGGATGGGAGTACCCCTGCTACATCTGATTCCGTCGTGTCTATGCTTGCCCTCCTCTTTTCTTCATGCTAAGGGTACCTCTCATGGCCTCGACCACAACCAGTTGACCTCGAAGGTGAAGGAGGTGGAGAGGCATTGATAGGAGGAGTCCTTTTGAATGGTGGAGGAAGAGGCTCATTGGAGTTAAATCCTCGGCCCCTTGCAGCTCTGAAGGCTACTCATTGTTTGATAAGGTTCAAATCTATGTGGTAGTCAGACATTTCAACTTCAAACACATCTTCTACGTTTAAGTTGTGAAGGACCTCAAAATTTGGCCAAGCCTCCCTCCCAGATGTGTTTGCCTTGGCGTCAGCAGCGGTCGAAAGGCCTCTGATTTCATCAACTTCGTCGTCGCCTCCTTCCTCGGTGGCTTCGTCTTTAGCAACCCCTTCTACCTCGACTTCTGTGGCCCTATCAGGGTCGTTCTCTAAATTCTCCACCTCAAACTCTACCTCTACCCGACAGATCAAAGATATGCAGAGTTTGGGTGAATTTTTTTGTACCCCGAGACGTAGTCAAGGAGGAGATGAACTGCTCGACCCAGGCCCCTGTTTGCCAAGTAATTTTAGACGAAAGTGATGTCGTCGATGTTGACTTGATTCTGAGGGAAAGCGGTTGTCTTGGCGTCGGGAATTCCTGATACAACAACATCACGATTGTCAGTTACAAAGTATGACATACAAGTGAAGAAACTGAAACAAAGAATGAGAAAAAGAGCCGACGTCCTAAAATCGTGGGGTCTTGAGCCTTAAGGTAATATATTTGCTGAGGCATGACCCTCACCAAGGTATAACAAAAGTGGATGTCGTCCAGACTAAGGTGTAGGTTCAATCACTCCTTTAAGGCAACCACACCCATGATGATCCTGACTGTGTTAAGGCAACACTACCCTGGAAAGAGTTAAAACCAGGACAAGAAACGAAGAAGGAGGGGGTGAAGAAGGAACCTGATGCCTCCCTTAATTATGGCCTTGGTGTAAAATAGAATCTCGACCTCGGTGCCGATAGTGGCACTTTGACGACAGACCTTAAATTCGTCTATAGTCACCTTGGGGGGAATAGAGTAGTAGGCCCTGAAGTTTACTATCTGTTGTCGGCCCTTGATAGTGTACTTTTTGGGCCGAGAAGGACCAGCCTCATCAACCTTAACAACTCTACTCGGACAGCGCCTCGGCATATCTCAAGAAGAAGAAGGAGATATTTATGGGTTGTTTTCTCAGATTAACAGACCTAAAGGGACACAACTGAAGATAAAATGATGCGTGGGAAGGAGAGGGACCAAACTATCCTATCGAGATTGGGTTGGAGAGAAGGTGGAAGGAGATGGATCGCCGAAAAAATAGAAAAAGAAGGGGACGGAGAGAAGTTAAAAGAGAAAAAATGGGGTGAGAGAGCTCATCAAAGTCGAAAAGTGCAGAGGCAGCAGTCAAAGGCCTTCGTCTTCGAGAAATGGCGAGAGAAATGGCAACAAAATAGGTGGTTGGCAACAACTCCGATAAGAACTCCGACGATGTTCGTCTCTTCAGGCAACTAAGTTTTCAAAAGTAAAGAAAAGGGGTTGAGTCATGTTTATATAGGGCCTGTCCCCATCATTGCACTCGAAACATAAGAAGGGGCAAATTCAATGTGCATGACCTCTGGAGGCGGGATTGCAGCTACACAATGATTAGGTGGTTGAGCCCTTTCATCTTCTGAAATGACACGTCTCCCATGTCATACGAAGATCAAGGGCTGGGGGGTAGTTGATGGGACACTTCTGAGAAAAGATAGGATTCTGATACGTTTCCTTGGCACCTCTTGTGCTCTGTTGCTTCCACGTGTCCTCGGCACCAAGGGCATCTCCTGTGCTTTGATGCTACCACGTGTCCTCAGCACCGAGGGCACCTCTTGTGCTCTGATGCTACCACGTGCCCTCGGCACCGAGAACACCTTCTACGAGGTGCGGGCACGCGTCTCGCGTACTAAGGGCAACTTCTTTTCTCTGGTCCAGCTGCGCATTCTCTACTTGATTAGATTATAAGGACGTGTCTTAGACACGTCGTCGCCTCGGCTCCTATAAGGGTCATTAACTAACATAGCCAAACAGTCTCAGAGCAGGATTGGGGATCATTGGATTACTCCTCCAATGAAGTCAGAATGATAGAGGGGACAAGACCAACAACCAAAGAGAACGAGACACGTGGCATAATGTACAAGACTAGGGGCAAAAAGACAAAAGTACCCTTCTAACATGCAGTCATCCTAGAAGAAGCATTAATAACACCTAAGAAGGATGAGACATCCACGATGACTTGGGAAGGCGAGAAGAAGGAGCATTAAATGTTTCACAACCCAAGCATTTAATGCCTTTACATTTGAGAAAGAGCATTTAATGCTTGGGGGCCTGAGCAATTAATAACAGGGACTCCCATATGCAAATGGGAAGTGCACTGCCCAATAACTGTATTATACCTATTGCCTCACCTGTCAGCAGTGATGAGCCCTTGGACGTATAAATAATGGAAAATACCTGAATACAATGGTACGCAAATACAATTCTCAGCATATATATAGTGTTTTTATTTTTCCTTTCTCACAGAAATTGACTTGATCGTCGAAAGAGATACACCGAAAAATATTTCGGCGCCCTTCTAGCCTCTCTCTTTGCGCAAGGAACCATCTACGGCTCGCCAGAATTGATCAGACAGCCCTTAAACCAATTTATTACCACTCCTTAGGCCACCTTTGGTCACCGGATTGTTGACTTTTGAGGTAAATACGAGTTTACCAAGGGAAAAAGTTGTCTTTTTCTATTTATTGTGCAAAAATCTACGCGACCACCCTCCATGCAACCTTTTACCTTAGTTACACTAAGGCCCCCTCTTCTTTTGCTTATTTTCTTATTTAACCATTCGAGAATTCTTGATGTTTTTAAAATCACATTCGTACAATCTACTTCATTGTAATTCAACAACAAAACTCTTTAATTAGAAGTATATGTAACTACTTAGGGTTTAATTATCACAATATTAAATCCATGCAAATACTAACAAATTATACTTTAACTCATAATTTTAATAAAACATCATGATTTACATGTTCGGGTTTCACAACTACTGTCACTTGATAATGCACTTATCCACTATCCATTATCCCACCTTTCAAGTTACCACACCCAAACTAACTCATCTGCCCCTTTCCCTCTCTCACTCTCAGTTATAAGAAATGATGAAGGGTCTACTGTTATGCATAAATCTATCAGAGATGGGAGGGTTTGGGTCCAAGAAGGAGTGAATTCTAATTTTATATTTGGTCGTGCACTGCATGGGGCTAATACTTGTACTATATATATAAAAGAATCAAATTAGGTGAGAGATAGTTTGAGAAGTCTTTTCTCCTGCTTTCATTTTTTCTTAGAATTTTTAATTATTTAATTATCACCTATAATTTTAACCAATTATATTCAAACACATGTCTCACGTAACTACCCCACTACTTAATTATCACTCATTTAATTTTTTTTTTAAAAATCAACCAATAATTTAAAATTTTTTCAAAATATAATTTTATCACTGTAACATTTCATAATTATTTTGTCATCCTAATTTTTAAAAAATTCTATCTAACTTTTTAAGTAGTATAATGACAACTCAAAAAAAAAAAATGGAGAGGGAAAGGGATATGTGCAAATTTCGTGTATTGCACGGGATTGCCGCTAGTGTATATATATGTTACGCTATACATTAAGAGAGATAGTGGGGTTTAATTTAACATTGGCTCCATTAATTGAAATTAAATGTAATAGATAATGGTAGTTAATTAAGGTTAAATGTAATATATAATGGTAGTTAATAGTTTATGATAAATTATGTTTAAATGTCAACATCCACTAACCCACTTCCTTTATACCTCTCTCCGCTCCCATTGTAATCACTTTTTCAACACTTTAAAGTCTAAAAAATATCAAATCAACCATAACCACTATTCAAACTTTCAAATCTCATAAGCTTTGATATGTGACTGTGAGCCCCTATCCCCACTCTTAGGTTTATGTCATTATACTATTGTTAATGTCAATTGCCTCTCATTTCCCCAAAGAGTATTACCAATGCAATTTAGAATAGTAATTATGCACTTTAGCAACTTATATACACCATAGGCACCGATAAAACCAAATCTTCCGCCAAAGGAGAGAAAAAAAAAAAACTTCGATCTACCCACGCCCAATATCATCGGCCCCAAATCCCAACCACTTCAAAATTTTAATCTATCTACACAATTATTGTCGCAAAAATTCCAACCCCTTTTTAAATTGGACTTGCGCCTACTCCTGTACAATCATTATTGACCACCTTCAATAACGTGTAATTTTACGGGAACACACCGATAAGATTTGATTGTAATGTTATAAATTTTACAAGATTTTGTGGAAGACAACAAAGTTCAATTCATAAGACTACAACAAAGTTAATGGAGTAATTAATAATTTTTTGTTGAGAAAAGTAAAATTTATTGATAATTTTTCCTTGATATTTTTATCACAAGGTAAATTTGAAATAAAACATGATGAAGTTCAGGATTTCATGTGAATAAATTATAAAAAAATAAAACTTAAATGTATTAAAAAAATATAATTAGGTTTAATTTTATTTTTTGAAAAAAAAAAGGTAAAATTTATTAGCCCAAAATTTGACCATTAAACCCACAGTAACACAGAAAGGTAGGTCCATTTTATTCTTATTTATTTATTACGGTTACACCACATCACACACTATTTACTCCTAACTAGATATATACCTCGGACCACAGAGAGAATCATCCAGCTTGGTTTGGTCGGGGTACGATTTCTCTCTCTACAATTATTCGTAGAAGAGAGAGAGAGAGAGCAGAACATCAATGGCGGCAGTTCCAGCTGCACCACTTGCTGTGAACGGAGCAGTGAAAACGGCAGTAACATCACAGGCATATATGGAGAGCAACCGAGTGAAAGAAACGAAGAATTTGATTTCAGAGCTATGCCGTCAATTCTACAACCTCGGATGGGTTTCTGGTACAGGTGGTAGCATCACCATCAAGGTCCACGATGACTCCATCCCTAAACCCCAACAGCTCATCATCATGTCCCCTTCTGGTATGTACATAAATTCGAGTTTTATTTATTGGTCTTTCTCTCTTATAAATTCGATTTAGTTTTTGTTAGTTGTAAAAATTGGTTGTATTGTGTATGTGGGTAGGTGTGCAAAAGGAAAGAATGGTGCCAGACGATATGTATCTGCTATCGCCAACTGGGTCTGTATTGTCTTCTCCTCTGCCGAAGCCATACCCGCATAAGCCTCCCAAGTGTTCTGATTGTGCTCCTCTGTTTATGAAGGTATAATCTATTGGCAGTCTGATTTTCCGGAATTTATTCACAGTATGATGCAAAAAAGGGGTTAATAGTCTGATCTTGCCAGGTTGACGTTTTTGGATGTGATTCATTTATGCCCCAGTTGTGCTCAATTTTCTATGATTTTCTGTTATGAGCCCCAATATTAAAAATTTTCCCTGCTCTTGATACTGTTATGTTGATCTAGAAAGTAATGTATGTTTCGGAATTTCCATTCACATGGGCTCATTTATGGACCTTTAATTGGCAACTGAGATAACTTCTTTCAGTGCCTGTGACCTTGCTTCTTTGTAATCTCTGGTATTGTGTGAAAAATGATTGTTGTTCCGCCTTTCGGTTTGTGGAGAATTCGGTTGTTGATGACTGTTGAAATGAGCGAATAGGCATGGAGTCCACAGGAATTGCCATTTCAAGGAGATCACTACTCTAAACTGCATTTTAATTCTTGATGCAGCTATCATGGCAATATTAGGCGCCCTCAAATGCTGCAATAAAATTCTTATATAATATTTGGCTTTGACTGTAGCATTTCTTATTTTTTGATATCCAGGCATATGATATGCGTAATGCTGGTGCTGTTATTCACAGTCATGGGATGGAATCCTGTCTTGTAACAATGCTCAATCCATTGTCAAAAGAGTTTCGGGTAAATTTGTGATCTCTGACTTATGTAATTGAAAATAAATGTCATTTTTCATCATCTGCAAAAAAATTTCTTTTCGTTTCACAAATCATGAATAAACAATTGAAGACATCTTCTGTTCTTTCCCTGTGGGTGTTTACCAATCTTTGTTGGATGAGGATTGTAGAGTTGCCCCCTTGGGACGATTTATTGTGGATTTATCAGAACTTGTATTGTTTTTGCTGATATATGTGTTATTTTTTTTATAAAAAGAAGCGGCGGAGGCCTTTTTATTCTCATTCCTCTTTGGCTATTCATTGCATTTACAGATCACTCACATGGAAATGATCAAAGGAATTCAAGGACATGGTTATTATGACGAGCTTGTGGTCCCCATAATAGAGAACACTGCTCATGAGCGGGAACTTACAGCATCTCTTACTGAAGCCGTATGTTATTTTATAAATTGTCTTTGCACAGTGATGACTATTCAAATTGAACTGAGTATTTGCATGCTGTGGAAAAGAAAATACGATGTGCTGGTTTGGCCTCAACAACAAATTATGGGTTGAAAGGGCCTGAAATAAAACCGTGTTATTCGATATGGCAACTTTTTTTCCCTAGTGCACAACGCCAGGACAGTCATTTTCCTACATAACATAATTTGTTCTGAAAATTTTCTAGTGTTGTGATGTTTCTTACAAAGCAATATGGATGTCTGATATTATCTATTAAAAAGTGTTGGTGTTATAAAAATCATACACAATGACATTTTTTATGGAGTTAAGTATAGGAAACTTCCTTTCTGGCTCTTGTTTTGTGAGATAATGACAACTTCCTGAATTTTTAACAATCTGAGGGATTTGGTGATGTAAAACCAAAATTCAAGCGGCGCTTCACTCATTACCGCACTTCTTGTAAATAATTTGATATTTGCAAGGCTTTTTTTGTTTTCCATATAGCTTAATGACAAGTTTCTGTTCGTTGCATACCTGTGGAAGAGATAATTTATGTACAATGTTGAATGATCTCAGCCTTGAAACTTCTGCTTGGATAACTCCTTGATGATACACGCCATAGGTTCTTTTGTTGCCAATTCTGGCAATGCCTTCTAAAACCATTCCAAAAGTACAGTTGTGCAGGGGAGATTAAAAAAAATGAACATTGCTCTCTCCTCTACCCATTTGCATTATCATCTTTTCATTATTAATCTAGGTGTTAGTGTGAACACTGCTCCAGAATAACTCATTATCTCCCTGTTTTGTAGATTGAAGCCTACCCAAAAACAACAGCTGTGCTGGTACGGAACCATGGGATATACGTATGGGGGGATTCTTGGATCAGTGCTAAAACTCAGGTTCGTGTTTTCTGGGGAAGAGGATAGCGATTTTGATTAGTTGGACAGGATCTTTATTTGTAAGTCCGTTTCTTTGGTTGGAGATGTGCATATATGGTGACCATACAGCATGGAAACCAAATGTTCACATAATTGGATTGGTTGAATTGTAGACTATGTAGGATGAGTGAGGGAAACACACTCCTATAACAGATGGTTCCAAAACTTCTTCCTGTGCAGTGGAAGAAAGGCTTTTAAGGGGCTTACTAGGATTTAATTTGTGGCTGAAAAAGGTTGCTAATTTTGTGGATTTTCAGTGTTTTGTATGCTGCAAGAAGGGGTAGACTTTTGGGCTTGTAGTAAGATGACAACGGACAAAGTTCATGGATTGAGGATGGTGGGATTTGTAGAAAATGTTTGGCTAATCAAACTGGGATTTTTTAGGTTTGGAAAAAGGGCAGTTTCAGATTTGGTTTCAAGAATAAGAGTGCAAAGGAGGAGAAGAAAAGAAGTAGAGGAGGATAAAAACGTGCCACCCTTCCAAGGGTTAGGCAAAGTCACACGAGTACAATATTAAATTGTCAATTTTTTTATAATTGTCTCTGCCATGTTCTGTAAGAGTTTTAAAATTGATTTGATGCATTTACGCATGGTGTCAGGCTTTTTGTACTTCTACTCACCTATTTTACATTTCCAGAAAGATTAGATAGCTGCATTGAGATGAACGCACATGATGCGTCCTTTTGGAGTTTATATCATTTGTTTCTTGGTTAATTATCCTTTCAGGCTGAATGTTATCACTATCTCTTTGATGCTGCCATCAAACTTCACCAATTGGGCCTGGACTGGTCTACTCCTAGTCATGGTCCCACTCATAGTTTCAGAGAAGGTGATCGAAATATTAGCCTCTCTGCAAAGGCAAAACTTATTTCGAATAATGATATTGAGCCATCACGGGTAACTTTTTGAAGTGTTTGCTAGAAATCTCAAGGATCCAAGCTTCTCTTGTATCCTGATATTAATTCTTTTATTGAAATATTGTTCCAGCATTGCATTGTTCTGGATATCGAGGGGACCACAACACCTATATCTTTTGTAGCTGATGTTCTCTTTCCATATGCTCGTGATAATGTGGGGAGACATTTAGATGCAACATATGACACTGCAGAAACTCAAGAAGATATTAAGCTGTTGAGCTCTCAAGTAAGCTTTTATTTAGTAAAATGCTTCTTAAAGAGTCTACCTCAATTTATTCTAAATTGTGCAAGATGAAAATTTTTTATCTTCAATACCATAGCCGGGTAATGTTGACGTTCACAATGTAACTTGGGCACATCCTCACAAGGAAGCACATTTTATAGTCATACTAGGAAATCGATGTAAGATTCTAGTTTCTTCCCCCATGCATTATTTGAATTGCATTGATCATAATCCTCTGTCCTGGGAAAAGCCATTTGCAGAGTGATTATGTTTCTATGAACTTCATTTCTAAACTTTACATGCCCTCCATGGTTTTCAAATTATGTTGTTATATTCTAGAATATTGCATGATTCAATTAAGTTTTTATAACAAGCAAATGCCTATGCCATAGGCATAGTATCCTGCTCTGCTAGATTTGTGTGGAAGATTGGACGACAGAGAGTAGAGGTTCATGGTGCTCTACCTGTTTTGGTTAGAAAGTCATAACCAGGGTTACCAAAAAACGTATGACCCCTTACGATTCCCGATTTGAGTCGCACGACCCCAAACGTGGGTCATTCGCGACCTGGATTAGTCAAGTCTCTGACCCCTATCAAACTAATTATTAAATCAAAACTCAGAATCTCAGACTTAGATCTCCAATATAAGCCCTAAAACTCATATCAAACCAAATCATTATAAATATTATAAATTGTACAAATTAAGTTATAATAGGACACACCGAGTGAAGAATGAAGATTAGGTTACATACCCGATGGATCCCACAAAGCTTTTCAGATTACTACATCGAAAAGTGCTATGGATCGCGTTTGTTTGCCTCGATCGACAGTCGGCGGCGAACACTGCTTTTTGTTGCATAGAATGCTTGATTCTCATTGAAGACTGGTTCGAGTTTGGTGTGGTTCCCATCGCAGATCTCTATGCTCGTCTTTATTAACAGGCCACCTACTAGTTTTACCATGCCACCTACTAGTTCTACAAGGCCATCGCTCCGTTATTTCGGACTACATCAGAATCAAATTAGTAACTTTGTAAGATGAGGGAACAATGCGAAAGATAAAGGGGAAAGAGTTGACAATTAACTCATGTGCTCTAATTTTTTCTAATTATTAAGTAATTTTTATTTGAGACTTGTTAGATGTTTAAAAATGTTATTTTGATTTGTGCTTTAAGTAGGAAGCTATTTAATTGCTCTTTAGTATGTTATTTTTTAAATTTTAAGTCTTTAAATTTATATTATGTTTTTTTTTTTGATAATAAAATATGCAACCATTACATTTTTATACATAATTATTAGTTGATGTGTTGTTGTTGGTATTGTTTTGCCTTTAAATTTGTTCAACAAATACAAAATAAGTATTAATTAAATGATATCTTATACATATATAAATAAAATAAGAGTGAGCAAATTATTATAGGTTTAAAACAAGTAGCAATTGATTATATGTATAATGTATAAATTTATATAATTCTTTGTAATAATGAAAATGATCCGGATAATAGTTCAAAGCGAACTGCAACCCAAAATAGCGTACCAGTTAAGCCTACCCCCACCGCACCGCGCATTGGAAAAAGTAACGTACCCCGCACCTGTACCTGTACCACGTACCTAATCGACCCGCGATCCAGGTAACCCTGGTTAGAACTCTCTCTCCCTCGTGTGTGAACTGGAACCAAACTTATTTCTTGAAACTAAGATAATGACATGTACAATTTTTTTTTTTAATTCTGATTGCAGGTACGGGATGACTTAGAACAAGGAATTGTTGGTGCTGTGCCCATCCCATCTGATGATGCAGGAAAAGGTGAGGTGATTTCAGCTCTGGTTGCTAATGTGGAAGCAATGATAAAAGCTGACAGGAAAATTACTGCTCTGAAACAATTGCAAGTAAGCAAATGGAAGTTGGAAGAAAATGCTCCTTTCAAGTTCCTCAAAATCTGGCTAACTTTTAGGCATTCAGGGTCATATATGGCGGACTGGATTTCAGAATAACGAATTAGAGGGTGTGGTTTTTGATGATGTACCTCAAGCTCTTGAGAAGTGGCATGCTTTGGGCATTAAGGTTACTTTTACTTCTTACCTTCCATTTGCTGTTTGTTCCCTTAGAATATTGTTTGGGAGTCTATGCATTATTGTTCTGCGTGCTTCAATTCCATCGTACATCACGCTAATGAGCTTGAAAATTGCATGAAAGGCGCGTACTAAATAATTTTCTTGTAGTTCTTGTTATGATGAGAAATATTTTGAGTTCAAATGCTTATTTGCTTCTAGTATATGTTTTCGTACAGCTGAGAGAAGGATATATTCTTCTCCTTCCCTTTCCGAACCTTTTTTTCAAACAGATTACTTGGTACTATATGTGGAACCTGCATTGATATATCATTATTCGTCCAAAGTT